CAGCACAAGCTGGGCAGAAGATAGAACTAAGATCATAAAAGATATACAATGAATAAATGACAGAGCCAAAAATCAAGTGTAGCTGAAAGCTTAAAGTATCATAAAGATTAGTATCCGGAGCCATCTTTCTTTTAACTAAGGGAAATTACATCTGTCTTTTAGCACCGTTAAAACTTAGCATTTAAGGCATTATGGCTTTTTAACTCATAAAAATGTAGCTTTATGAGGTTATCTATCAACCTACTTCCAATTCTGAAAACTTCGACTGAAATTGCCAACATCCCTCATAAAGTATGAAGTCAACAAGTTTCTCTGACCTCATCAGCTAAAATTCATTCTTATGAAGCGATTTCATGACAATAATTCCATCACTGAGCGGGCTTCAAAGAGAGGCCTTTTTCTTCAGTATGAACTGTAAAACCCCGTTCTGGAACCATATGTGGTCACCTCTGGCTCAAAACGAACCAAGATAGGGCAAAAAACACCCCCCAAAAACAAAGGCTGTTGTCATAATGCTTGTATCCGGTTTTCGTTTTGCTAGGATTAAAAACTAGCAATGACCTGGGCCTACATTGACTAAATGTGTCTATATGGCATTGATTAAACTTAGAATTCCTCTTTAGAATAATTTTCATCAGGAAAAATCAGCCTTATTACAGGTCATTTTGTAATTGCCTTTATTTAGATTTGTCCATTACACTTTGGTGGCAATGCTGTAATTGGAAGGCTACCATTGCATGCTAGGTTAGCATGTGCCAGAGCTCTATGTTTCCATGACTGCCAATAAATACCCAGACTACGCTGGAGTTATTTGATCCTGGTATTAATGCCAGTTGCAACTTTTACAGCCGGAGACAAAAAAAAAGCCAGATGTTACTTATTTTTAACACAGCGCGCAAAAAGTTTTGAGTTTGCCATTACGCTTAACATTTCGAATGCTTAGTTTTAGTTCACCGTGTTAGAACCGGCGCCAACACCCGCGGCTTTTCTACAGGTGGAAGAGTAACGGTGAGCGGACACGGAAACACAAGCAGGTTGCAGCTGTTCCCATTGCTAAGGGTTAGGCCCTCAGCCCTTCTGCTAAATATTGTTTTACCCCCATAGAGGCTCAAACACACATGTGCATTAAAAAAAAAAAACTCTCCTACCGAGTCATTCGGTCTTTCGCCCTTCTCAACCACATCTGAGAAAAAACCCAGGGTCACCACTGAAAAAACCGCAGAACAACAAGTGTAAACTATTCCAAAGGGTGGAAAGCAGTCGGCAATTTCTAATTCACAAGATGGAAAGAAAAACAAATTTACTCGGCTGACTCATTTAAAAATTTGTTCAGTGGCGAAGTAAAAAAATAAAAATAAAATCAGCTTTGTCAGGTCTCTCTGTGCTTATAAATGGTTCCACATGACTTCCACGTTAAGGAAAAATAGCTGAAACCTCTATAACCTATCACTATATTCAAGAGGTATCAGGAGAGGATTATGCACAGTTGAGATTTTTGGGAGTTTTTATGTCAGAAAGTACAGTAATTAGTCAAGCAAAAGTTATCCTTGTATAATAGTGTGGCCTTCTGTGACCAGTTATTCCTTTAATGGGCTTTAAATTCAAGCAAAATAGAAGCATGTTCTGTTGTTACTGGAACTCGTGGCTGACTGTGACCAGAGGTATGCAAGCGTATGTTTGCAGTCTGAGAACATTTTCGACTGGCCGGGTCAACGAGAGCAGTACAGGAAGAAACTGGGATAAACCGGTGGCTTTTCTGCAACCCAAAATATGACTCAGAAATCTCTCGCTTTTATTTTTCGTCTCTTTGAATTACTTCTCTAACCGTAGTGTGGCAACATTCGAAGCTCTTGTCTTAATGCAGACAGTCGATGATTTGGAGCAAAGCTTACATACGTTTTAAATTAGCTTATTCACCGTCTTACATTCAGCCATTCTTTCTTATATAGCTAAAATAATCCGCCTTTTGGGATAATACACTTGCAAGCTTGTTCTAAACATGTGCACTACGTAAAAAATATTGTTATCTTTTTGAGGAGCGGCCATTTTGTTTAATATAGTCACAAAATCAGATTTTACACATCTCTGTTTACGTGAATTTACACCAAGGATTCACCAAACTGTAATAAATAATGGTTCTGTTTGCATTTCAATAACGCTTCGCCAACAAGTTACTGCACATTCTCCCACTGGCACTGACTTATTAGTGAATGTTTCTGTGTTAAACCATGGAGGCCAACATTCATGTCTCCTGTGTCTTAAGTCAACAACACTGTTAGCTGGTGCAGTCAAAAACAGTTTGTGTAATAGAAGGGCAAGTTTACTTGTAGACACAAGGCAATTGAATGTGCTTTACAGCTACATGAAGATCCCAAAAGAAAGAAAAAATATTTCATAACACATTAAATTGATTCAATTCAAAGTAAAGAGTTTGGATAAAATGCTTTCAGAGATAGACCAGTCTTTGAGTCTGGATTCAAAACATTGTCAAGTTTAAGGTCTTTCTCACTTCTTCAGGAAGACTGTTTTAGATTTAAGTAGGATAACACTGAAACACAGCATCGACTTGCATTGCCCAAACTCTGAGCTCCAGCATAAGACCCTTAGTCTTCTTGAGTTGGGTCGTATGGCTCTAGCATGTCTGGGATGGACTTCGGCGCTAGACCCTGAAGAGACGTGTACACAAGCAGAGCCGTGTTAAGAAGTCTATTGTCTGTGTGACGGGAATCCGGCGCAGAGACCTGAGCACGGGACTAATATGGTCGTATTTCTTGGGTCTGGTCAGAGGTGGAGCAGCCGCATTCTGAATGTACTTGCACCCATCTTACAGATCTTTTAGAAAATCCAGTAGTCAAACCTCCAGATGGATTGGTCTTTCTAGGTCTGGTTTAGACATTATTCCTTTGATTCAGGCAATCTTTTTGTTAGATGTTAAAACACTGATGTTATCGAATTGATGTGGTTCTTAAGGTTCAGGTTCGATTCAAACATTACCCCCTATATTTGAAATCTGATGATTAAGTTCTAGGGAGAGAGCCTTACGATAGGTGATCATTTTTCTTTGTTTCTGTGGGCCAAAGACAATGATTTCAGTTTTGTCTGAGTTTACCTGGACAAAACTGTTTTGCATCTGTGGACTGACCCATTTGTTTGCAGTGACACAATGCCTTGTAAAACATTCAGTTGCCCCAATCTAAGGTTTGAAGTACAGAAAACATTAAGTCAAAGGACTGGAAAAAATGTCAGGATGAAAGTATCTCTGTATCTCTGTTCCCTGGGTGGCATTTCACATCTTTGTTTATGCGAAACTGGTCTGCTCTACCGAAAATTAGCCGGATTTACAAGAGGCTGTCTGGCAGAAAAGGACGGGACATTCCTCCCTAGCCCCGTTTTATCACTTCCCTTTCACTAATGGCATAAATCAGGCGGCAAAGCTTAAAAGACTGCTCCCAGTACATCATCACAAATAAATAAATGAACAAATGTAGATGTGAAAGTATTTCAGATCCAACTCTGCACTTCTTCACTGTTTAATATTTCACGTGTGCCTTCCTTTCTACCACCACATGACAGATGATCATACCAAGCGAGGAAAATGAAACAAAATCAGATAAAATTTCACTCAAAGTGCCTATAGAAAACTTAGGGGGAAAAAAGAAGAAATGTCTCCAGTATAGTTGTCTCCTACGTCATGTCAGATGAACTGAGGGATTTACCAAAATAGGATTGAATTAAACACAAGAGATTACTGCTTTTAACCCACCAGTTCTCTACATGTGACAAACCTTTTTCAAGAAATTTCAATGCACTATAAGCACGGTATAGTGTATTAACAGTACTACATAAAAAGCTTGAAAAATAAAATATATATATATATTTGTACTGAAAATTTAAATTTCACATCATGAATATATTCAATCTACATTATTTAATAATGAAAGTTCATGAATCACGTTTTGGATGTTGGTAAGAGAGAGAAAACCCCTGTTTCTAATATCTGGTACAAGTCCGCCTCTGCAAAAATCTCTGCACATGTCAGAAAACTGTTGACTGCTTCTGCAAGGCAAATTTAGAGGAGTTTTAGTCGATCCCTCTACGCAGAGCAGCTTCAACACTCCCCCTCACATGCTCACACTATACATTCACACCATTTCAACAAAATCTTAGGTATTTTAAGGTCAGGTGTCAGATTCGACTTGTCCAAAATTAGTTTTATTCTTTAGCTATTCTCACATACAACTGCTTATGTGTTGGAAAGCTATCCATTTTTGTCATTGTTTTGTTTCAGATACAGCAGCATATAATTATTATAATTATAATTATTATTATTTCCACCACCGTGGTTCACATACTGGACAAAGTTGTGTTGGAAGGCTGATATTTCATTCAAATACAACAGTTTTCATTTAGAAAAAGGGCTTTTTACTAGGCCTCAGTGTCATTTTAGGGGAGCAGTATGTAGAATATTGATTTAAATCAAACATTAGCCAATAATATTATTTGTTCATTTTTAAAAAAGTACCTTGAGACATCACACTTGTAATTTCTAAACATGTCTTATTATTGAATGGTAAGATTTTGAATATGAAATTATTCAATAAAACCCATAATTATAGCAGAATGCAGAACTGCTTTAAAGGTTTATCCAGAAATTTACTCCATCAATTTGGATGTCCATCAGTACTTTGTTTTCCAGATATTGTGATTATGACTTACATTAAGCATCTCAGTTAGATTAGTTTACCTTCGACCATAACTTGGTTAATCATTCGGTATGTTTATGCCTGCTAAATCAGTGAGAAATAAGAATAAAAATAACTTTTTTCCTTTAGTTATTTGGGATATCACCCTTCTATCCATTTGACTTTGACTGCAAATAATTCCCCATCAACTGGCAATACACAAGCACCCACTGTACGGCCTCCTGTTTCATTGTGCTAAAAGGAAACAAAATCCTCCGAAACTGTTCAGCTGATCCACCTAATTTTAACTGATCTTACCAGACAGGTCGGGAATGACATCAAGGGAAGACGACCAGGAGTAGCGTTCCATTCCCAGGTGACTGAGAGAGGGTGTCAAAGCCTCCAATTCGTACGCACCGCGCTTCTTCCAGTACAGAAACATCTTCCTCAACCAGGTACGGGTTTGAAGCAATGAATACTAATTAAGTGTTCAAATAATGACCCTAAAACTGAACTCTTCCCACTGTGGAATTAATAGTGGAACTGATACGTCTAACCATGCCCTACCCCCAAGAAGAAAGTCTCTCTGAAGCTCGGCCAACATTTGATGAACCCTTATCCCCGACCTCTTTTAGAAATAAAACTTGCCAGCCGACTAAGCTTTAAACTCTACCATCTGCACGTGTGTTCAATCAAATTCTCCACCTGCACAGTTACTTCATCTAGCTCGCACTTTGCTAAAAACTTGCTTTGAACCAACTAAGACCGATTCGAGTCGTGGTCATACCCAAATCGAGCAAATAGACTTCCTTCAATGTCAATCCTTTACATGTCCAGAGTACATCGGCACCGTTTCTACGGCTGGAATACGTTGTACCGCTGCCACCCACAAAGCAAAGACTAATACGTGTCTCAGAAGCTTCTGTTTCAGAGCCTCTTCCTGTTGATCCTGTGTAGACTTTTAGGTTCTCCACTAATCATCCACTGAAAGCCACCCACTAGGAGCTGTCAAGCACCAACTGCTGCCCTCTTCTAATCCATTTAACCGGCCTAATCCTGACTAAAATTACAGATGTCCAACTGTTAAAAGGTCTTTTCTCCGGGAGTAAGTGACATTTCCTTTGACGTCGCCTTCCCCGAGCCTCGGCTCCATGGTTAAAGTTCCTAACACTAAACACAACTTGTGTCTGAGGCTCCCTGCTCATGTGTAGGATCTCCAGGAGCCGGAGGGGGGGCTTTCTACCCACTCCATCAGACAAGTGTTGTATTCATAAAGAGGTTAGTTGCATGCTGGGATAGGCAGTCTAGGCCAATAGCTTTTGGACCAAATGACACAAAGAGATCTTTTAGGCCTCCTCCTACATCCAGAGTTAACTTCGTGTTTCCCTCAAACTGTAAAAGGCCGACATTTGTCCGCATTGATTAGAGCCCGCCCCCTTTATGAGCCCAGAAAGATTTATTCCTTTTTTGTGAATGCACCAACTTTGTGCCGAATGAGCTCAGTTATTTCTGTGGAGGTACAATAAGCCTCTTGGTCGTGAGAAGGAAGCAAAAGAAGTCTTGTTCCAAAACGGTCATCTCCAACAATGCATTTTCTTTTTTGCGATGCCTCAAAAAGAACCGAAGGGTTAAAGCAACATGGAGACAGACGCTGCGAGGCAAGGCATAATATTTTCTCCACTGTTGCTTAAATGCTCGTGCACTGCTATTACGCATCTAAAAAGGGAGAAGAAATACTGTGAGAATGTACTGTGCTGGCCGGGGGAAGGGAGGGACGTTGTCACACATAGCGACCCACATGTCCAATTTTGGGATGAGAAATTAGAGGGTAGAATGGGAGCCGGTTTGTTACTCAGCTCTGGGCTTTTGCAGACATATGGTAATAATCTGAAGCAGCTTTGAGCACGCAGCTTCCCTTTTAATGAACTGAGCAGTCATCCAGCATGAGAACAGGGCTGCAAACACAAGGGCCAATTTCCACCTACAACAGAAACAAAGCGGAAAGCCGGGGGGTATCAGACAAGCCCCGCTTTCATCATCATCCACAAGATCAGCTTTTAATAAAAAGATAGTTTTGTTAGCCATAACAAAAAAATTCCTTTTCCATTGTGTCACTCTTTTTGAAAATTCGACTGCATTTTGATCTGATCTCACCTACGGAATATTTATACGAATAAAATATCTTACTGATTTCATCGGGAATGAATTCCAGACTATGAAAACACATATTCTTTCCTTTGTGAGAAACTGGAGCAGCTTTGTGTGGAGAAAAAAAACGAACTTTCTGTCAGGGTTCCGGGTCCAGTCAAAGTCAAATAAAGACCTGGGTGCAGGAAAATCTACTTTTCCAATGACAGTCTTTGCTATTTATAGATTTCTGAGCATTGGTCAAGTTGTAGGCTGGCACACAGGATGTCGACTACTGGAATAAGCCTTCAGCCTGTTCCCTTTTTCAAAACCTCTCTCACTGGACAAAGGAAAACCAGCCAACTCCAAGGCATGGAAGTTTTTATTGGAGATTTGGTTTACACTCTGCTTTACACTGTAGTTCCGCCAAAACAAATTCCCTCTGACATTAATTAGAAAGTGCATAAATAGTATTTTTCATATACCTGTCTGGTGGTATTTTTGTTGTGGATGGATATTCAGTCTACACCGACATAAATGTGTGGGAAACGGAGCCTTAAATAGTTTGAGCTGTAGGAATTAGATAAAGAAACACGTCAGTTAGATTTTCCTAAGTTATTTAACCTTTACCCGCAGACATTCCACCAGTCTTCCCCATGATTGCACATATAGTTTCTATTCGTAGAATGACATTTTAGCCGTTTTAACTGGTGTTCTGAAGGAACAGGTGACTTTCATAGCGGGAAAAACACTTATATAAAACTTCAAAACACTTAAAATGTCATTTTTCCCCAAATTAAACTCATCACCTGAGACCCCACCCTCTGAACACACAGTCATCACAAGACAAACTTGTATGTATACATGTTTAAGTCATGCACTCATTTGTCCAAAGAATTTAATTCAGATTATTCCATCCCAATTCCAACTTTCAGATATCAATAAAGTCCTGTGGCACTTCATAGTAGGAAGAGTTCAGTCTATGTCAGATATTTCCTCACTATATGATCCAGGACATTAAGAAGAGGTAAACATTTAGGCGGGAAGTCTGATGTTATAGCCCAATGATGGTGAGTTAAGCACATTGGAGACACAACTTAGGATCAGCCTGAGTGTTTTTTTCCAAAACCAACTGCTACATTGCTCTAGTCGTATGTGTTAAAACCATCAATTTTAATGCAGACAGAAGATAGATAATTGTTCCCCACTTATGACCAACCCCTTTTATTTTGAGCCCCCATTTCAAATCAATGAAGATTGCCATCACTGATCTCAACTTCTCAACAGCAAGCACTTCCTTTAAGACTACATGTATTTTCAAGAAAGCTAACTTTCATATTTGCAAATAGTGACCTTAAATTTGAGCATACCCCATGTCGTTTTGGATTATTTATTTCAGTACGGTAGGGGTGATGGTTAAAACCTCTAAGGGTGTTCAAACCTAGTCACCTTACTTCACACTTTAGTTTAGTATTGATGGTGTGCTGTGAAATGAGTGCATGTAAAGTGGCTGCCAAACGACAGGACTCTAAATGAGCCTCTAGGAGTGTGTGCACGGCGGGGAAGAGATGTGTGTGAAGCGGGGTGTTGACAGAGGGAGTGCAGTCGAGGGCTGCCCATGTGGAGGTGGTTGGGGGAGTTATATTTAGCAAGGTGGCCCATCAAACAGACCGAAAGTTAACCTCTCAATGGCAAAATGGGAGTAGTCCGAGACAAAAAGAAGTAAGAGAGGACGAAGAGAAAAAAGAGAAGATTCGAAAAAAAGGAAAAAATAATCTTACTTCAGCAACACAGTGTCTCATCATGTATAAAAAATAATGAGTTCAACATGCGAGGAATCTTTTTTTCCCCCCTTTTATCTGCATAGGACAGACATACTTCCATTGTTTCAAAACTTCAAACCGTATTTTACATGAGCAAATTCTGTCTGATCCAGCTCCCAAAAAACTGATCACCGTGAGCCATCTAAAGGCTGAAAATCCACAGACAAAAAAAGATTCCATATTCCCCGGATTGAGACAAGCGGTCAGCCCGCTCTCCTCCCATATCCTCTGCAGCTGCTGATGGACAGCTGACTGGACACAGGGACACAATCGACTTCAGAGCTGTTGTTTCAAAGACTGCGTTTCTCAGTAGCATGCCGCCATTCTCAGGGGAATAATGCCTGTACACACATGCAACAAATCTAAACGTAGGGCTCCTGAATCCACTTTAATTACAAGATGTACTCAGTTAAACACGGAATGCTTTATGATCACGCTACTGCGTTTGTTGCTGTTTGTACACTTATGGCTGCAGACTCCTGTTTCCTACTAGTTTGTGTCTGATTTGTTTGACTAAAAGAGCCTCAATATACAATAAAAAGAAGTTAAAGTTTGACTTAACTAAAGCTTATCATGGATTTCAAATTCAGTGAGAAACCATACTACTATTGTTATCAATCATTTAACAATAACATTTGAGTTCCACTAATTAGTTTAGTTATCTTAATGCATTATGTTTCGTCATTATTAATCAGATATTCCGCTCTTTATTGTACAGGGTAATGTTTCAGTGGTATGGGATATGTTTGACAAGTTTATTTTGACATTATGAACATCTGTGGGCCACGTTTGACAATCCAGCTGCTGAGTCAACCCCCCCCCCCCCAAAGTCATCAATCGTTCTTCAAAAAATTCCACACAAGTTCATAAAACAGATAAACGGATCAGTCCACACACCTTGGTCGAAAGTTAACCTCACCTGAATTTTCCAGGGCTAAACTGTGAAACACTTTAATCTACTACTCCTCAAAAAAATACCAAACGGGTTTGTTTTGTGTTACATAGGGCTGGTATATAAACCATTACAGTCTTGAGTTTGTTGTTTGAATGAATCACTGTGAAAAGGGTAGTGCACGTTAACAGTCCATCCCTAGAGCGGCAGCTAAAGGGAACAAACAAACACTCTTGAACATGTTGATATGAATAATCCCATAATTGAAACAATCTGGCTGAAATTGCAGATGGGGGCTACTGTTGAGAAGCCAATAACAGAGTCAGACGGAATCAAAAACACTTATTCCCTGAAAAGTACAGTTATTGTCGTGTGGAAGGCTGCAATATGCACAAACAGTCATTTAGCCCGGGTCGAGGTTAGAAGTGTGGAGGGACGCGTTCGGAGATAAATATTTGCAGTTATGGCTTCTGCCTGAAGAAGCTCGGTGAGCGTGTTCGTGTGGGGGTGTGACCTTAAAGGAGCCCCCCTTTAATTATCTGCTCCAGAGTTCAAAGCCAAGCGGCTCACCGTTGGTCTTTTTATTTTTATTTTTTTTAC